CTATAAATAAGTGTCCTTTTCATGGCGCCACTTTTCTTTGTTGTTGCATTTTTGTGCTTCATGTTGGTGATTTCACTGTTTATAGTGGCTCCCAGGCATCGTGTTGAAATGCTATGTGTTGTTCCTAAGTGTAAGAAGCCTGTGATGTGATGTAATTTACAGAGAAAATACGTGTTTCAAATAAGCTTTACTCAGGCATGAGTGAGTGCTGTTGACTGTGACTTCAATGTCAGTGACTCAATAATGTATATTAAATAAAGTGTCTTTATACAGAAACATGCATAACACAAAGTTATGTTTGATCACTTGATGAAAATGTAGCCAGAGGCTCACAGGAACCTAACTGTGTATTTCCCCTGTGAGCAATAGTTTGATATTTGCTAATTCAGTGTTTGTGGTGACTTTATGGAACTTAATTACTGTGAAAAATGAAAACTGACTGTAATTTTATCTTTGTTGTTGAACTTCCCAACTGAGTTTAAATCACAGCAATGTCAGATGTTTCATGTTCTATAGAATGAACTTCTAAAAGCTTTGCTTTGATCTGTGAATTGGATGAAAACAGTCAAACCATTATTGGAGGTAACTGATTTCTATTTGATGTATCTCCTGACCGTGATAAAAGCTGGCATCATTTAAGTGTGAAAAATTTCTTCTGCTAGTAGAGCCAACAGAATAACAGCTGTCACTTAACTTTGGCTATGTAAGCAAGATACTTTGTATCTTGAGCAAAATTAAAGACCAGTAATTTGATCTAAATGAAAAGTCATGCTTTATAGAATAAAATATAAAACATCTCCTTCTGCATTTCTTAAATTGGTATCTTTAAGCTAGTCATAGGGGCAGCAGCACTGACTGTTTCTTCCACCTCCACCCAAGACTGAAGGATGCAGCTTTCCCAGGCTCCTCCTGTCCCAGTGCACTTCCTTTTTCTGCCAGTGGTTTGTGTGCTGTCTTTGAGAATGAGGTGTCAGTTACAGCCCATCCAGAGATGTTACTGCTCAGGGTCTTTTCATATTTAACCATATGTTGAATTGACAGCTGGGTTCACTGCACATGTATCCCACACTGCTCAACGAAAACATAGCAGAGCCTGGAAGTAAATGCTCTGACTTATTATAATGCTATCATTAAAAAAAAAACTAAACTAAAAAATGGAAAATCCAGGACAAATAATAAACTGGGTGGGACCTTTGGATAACGGACTTAAGTTGGGACTGTCTCAGGCAAACTGACACATATGGACACTTTACCAGACTCGTGTCTTTTCAAAAATCCGCTAACCCCAAACTCTGGATTACTGTTTCCCCCTTACACAGGCTGTGCCCTCAATATGATTCACTTGTTTGTGACTATTTAGTAATTTCCACAGCATTGTGCACATGGAAAAGAATGTGAAGCATTCTCCCTAGTTTTGTTCATTGTGGAATTTCTTTTTTTTCTAGAACATTTTCTATTCATCTTTAAACTTTTATTAAATTTTTCATGCCTTCATTTTTAAGCTGAAGACGTAATACATTTATGGAATTATTCTTCCTTAAACTGGTTCTTTTGTTGTCTTAATAAAAATATCATAGAGTAATTAAAAATGAAATTTGGGAATGAAAGGAATGCAGTTTTACATATATTTGATAAAAATGGATTATCTGAATATGATTGTGATAATACTTCATGTTCTGTTACAGGACTAATTAAAAGGATTTATCGTATGACTCTTTGCTGGAGCCTTGGGGGATAGGTAAGTGACAAGCATTTTTTGAAGAGATATTCCTGAAAATTAAATGATTTGATTCCATAGATTCCCGACAAAGTGGGTGTGGGGCATATCTTACTATAGTGATTGACCTTTTTCTCCTCAGTAAAACATTAGTAGAAATATCATGTTTACATGAATCGTAATGTATCATTTCTCCGATATCCAGTAAGTCATATTTTCTAGGGAGCTATAGGTTTATTTTCTATAACAATTATAATGAGAATATTGTAAATAAACATATGAATTTGGCATATTTCAAAACTTAAACCCTAAAAAAATGGTTAAATGCAACATGGTGCCCTAGATTGGATCTTAGAACTGAAAAAAAGATGTTACTGAAATCCAAGCAGTCTGTAGCTCAGGTAACAGTAATGTACCAGCATTGGTTTCTTAGTTTGACAAATGTACCGTGGTTATGTGAGATGTTAACATTAGGGAGAGGTGGGTGAAGGAAGTACAGGAACTCTGTAGTATCTTTGCAACTCTTCTGTAAATCTAAAATTATTCCAAAATGAAAATTTTTCTGTAACTGCCCCCTTTCCAAAATCAAAGTGTATTTATTAATTTTATTGCAGTATAGTTGGTTTACAATGTTTTATTAATTTCTGGTGCACAGCATATTCAGTTACATGTATATAACTATATATATATATATAT